AGCCATCGCGAGCCCGCACCCACCGCCACCGCCTCGAAGGCTTGCCACGCGGCTACAGCCCGCAACAGCCCCTCCAGCCCCGGACGCCGCTTCCTCCGGCCGCGCGCTTCCGGGAACCCCGTCACGGGGGAACTGTGTAACAATCGGAACGGTGTCACAACCGGAGACGTCGGCCAATCGCAGCCGAGAGAGCCGTCGAGCTCAGACCAACGGGTGGGCAGGGAGGGGTTTATTCGTTCCGATATAAACCAATCAGCGGTCCACAGAAGAGCGGCGCTCTTCCAGTAAGGAACGAGGAAAGCTAGTTTCCCGCCCCCTCCTCTAGTTTGACCAATGGGGGGCGGCTGCTCTGTCTTGGGATTGGCGCATGAGTGCGTTCGACTTGGTTTTGGGGGGGGGAGGTGGCCTCTATTTAATGCCAAAGGCCCTTTAAACGGTTCGGCTGGAGTTTCTTCCTCTTTTTTTAAAGAAATCCCCTTCCCAAGCGTGAGTCCTGCAGAGGTGTTGGATTAGAAATATAGCCATCCATCATCCACCTGGCTGGGGATGATGGGAGCTATAGCTGAATATACTTGGAAGACTCCAAGATGGGGCAAGGCCGATTCCGACCACTTCCTCAGGCGGGTACCATTGTGAAGAACTGAAAGTCCAAAGACTGTGTGAACAAATAAACACCATCAACAACACACATTCACCAGTAATCAAAAGATAAACAAGATCTGCATGATATCTTTTCCTATTTAAAGCCACCAGAATTGTGTTGGGGAATCCATGTTTCACCATAACCCAGATGTCTGGCTTCATTATGTTTCCACATGAGCACGCAAACACCTGCTTTATTCACAGATTTTAAGGGGCTCATCATTGTCTTTATAACCTTCCTGTGTTTTCTTATAACGTCTGCCACCTTTTTTTCTTTCCACTTTCTTTTAGCAGCGTATCTTCTGTTTTGTTGATAAGAGTTCTCTATCAGGAATTTCCCACCTCCTTTGTAGGAGCAGCACCCAAAATAATCCCCAAAAGAAGGCCACAACAGAAGCTACTAAAGAGGAAGGCCATTAGAATGGTCAGGTCTGGTCAGCAGCTTCCCAGTCTCTGAGGCCAAGCCCATAGGAAGTCACGGAAGGGAGGCCCTTGATTTCCATTTGTAAATAGTAGCCCAAATCCTACGAGTTACACCTGCTGGCATAATGCAGTCAGGGTACGTCATGGCAACAAACACATTGCTGCAAGTTAAAAAGTCAGTGAAGGCTTTTACTGTTGTGCACCAACTTATACAACATGGCATATGCTGATATCTTAACTAGCATGTTATTTATTGAGAGAGTTAATGCTGCTTGAGTAATACACATGTAAACATGCACCAGAATTTTGGCCATTATTATGTTGGCAAGTGTGTGTGCTTGAGTGAGACAGAGTATGGCTTTCTCGCACAGCCTCCAAAACAATTCACAGCACCTTCACACTCAGCTAGTGTGCCTTGGCCCCAGTTGAGACTGAGATGGGAATGAGGATCCCAATACCAAAGCCATCACCCACAGTGAAATCCAGCTTTCTTCTCTTCCAACATCTTTTGCCCTGAGATTTGCCTCTCTGTGTGGAAGGAAGCAAAGTGGGTCCCTGAGACGTCAGCTGGTGCCTTGAAACCTGGCATATGTCACACGTTTTTCTCAACCTGTTTTCAAACTGGCACTTCAGGGTAGCTGTTTGTCCCTTTTTCCACGTCTAGCAATTCACTTTTCTTCTGTACACATATTCTGCTTCACCTCTGAGGTGTCTTCCTTTTACCTGAACGTGCCCAAATCAACTCTTCTTGGAGTTCATTGTTTCTCTGTGCTATCTGTAGTGACAATGTACTGTGGGGATAGCCAGTTTTAACTGTGATGATGAACTGCAGAAGAGTCGAGCAGCTTCCTATTTGATCGGATGCTTTATCTGAAGAAAGATAATCATGTATTAGTTATATTTATATCTTGGCTTTCCTCCCATGAGGCCTAGGTGCCACACATGGCTCTTTTCCCTCCACAACAAACCTGTGAGGTAGATATAAGTCAGGCTGAAAAAAGTCACCCGTGTCATTATTCAATGAAGACAATCTGAATCTAGCAAGCAAAAAAGTGTCTGCTTATATATGGCCCCGTAACACTTAAAGCACTCTCAGAATGGTTTACAATCTAGTTATGCAGGCTACACGTGCCAAACCCAATCCTCACCCATCTGGGTACTCAATTTACTGACTTTGGAGGGATGGAAGGCTGACCACCCATCTGGGTACTCAATTTACTAACTTTGGAGGGATGGAAGGCTGAATAAACCTCAAGGTCACTATATGGGATTGAATCCAGGCTGTGAGCAGTTTGGGCTGCTACAATTGCTACAGTACAAGATACAAACACTTTAAGTCTTGAGGAGGGCAAGAATACCCAGGCTGTGAGCAGTTTTGGCTGCGACAATTGCTACAGTACAAGATACACTTTAAGTCTTGAGGAGGGCAAGAATATCATGATATGCCTCCGTGCTTCTGTGGGTATAGAGAAACGACATTAAGGAGCAGGGTTGCGAGAGGATGGTCCTCTGCTACACAATATCATCCATCCCCAGGATTTATTCCAGGGGCCAGGCCAGGCCTCAGATCAGATATGGTCCTACCTCTCTGCTCCCCCCCCCCACAGCAATGTGCAACATCCCTGACAGACAGCCATCCAGCCCATGAAAAAGAACCCAAGATTGCCAGTTTATTCCAGATCCTCTGAAGCATGGTGGTCAACTTTTTCATCTCCACCCTTCCTGTGCTGGGCTTTTCATCTATGATGAAATTATACTTACCTCTTGTAAAGGCAGCAGCAAGTCATCAACACATCAAACAAGAGGATCTTGAATAGCAGAATTCGAGTGGCCAAAAGAAGCAGGACGTGTGCTCGACTATGTAGAACATCAGGCAATAATGTCTGACCTTGGCCTGCTACAAAGAAACAGGAAAAATAATGGAGAGAAAGATCAAGTGGTATAGTGGTACGATTTGGTAACAAACGCTTATAAGGACCCACAAGCACAAGCAGAGTCACAGTCATAATCATGCTCCTTTAAGGACCATTGAAAATTTGTTGATCTATGTGCTTATGTCAACAAATCAGTTCTAGCAGCTTTCATCTATACTAGAAGCAGGCCTTTTGTAAAGCTTGTGGGTCTTAATGGTCTCTTCAAGGCCAAGCCACACTCAAACACTGTGGTATACAACTGGGATCGCTCATTCCAATTCATAATTGCATGGAGAAGTAACATTTCTCCATACTATAGTGAGCTAAGTTCAGAGTCGACAAAAATGTGGGGGTCAGGAGATGGTAAGTGACCTTGCTCTTCTTGATTATTAGAAGGTCTCAGGTGAGACTCTTCCTCACTACCCACTGGAAACAGCCAGAACAGAACTACCGTATATGTGTGTGGTCCTTCCAGTAGACCCGGCAGTGGTGAGCCAAGAAAGTCAGAGTGAGCATTCTTTCATTGACTTTCTCCTATAGGACATGTCTATATTCTAAACTGGACTGCTCTAAGCTGCAAGCAAACTTATCTAAACACATGTCACTATGCTTCTTTAACAAGTGATGATAATGCCAGTCCCAAATCAAATCCTTTCAAAGTTCAGAAGAAACATCAGAGGAATTTAGTACCCCAAACTTCTGCTTTACTGCCACACTTTGCCTACTTCTCTGTCCTAGCCCTACATAGCAAAAGGCATTGGGCATCTATTCTACCTTTGCATCCTTAGTTTCCCTACCACCACCCAAGGTGAAAGAAAGAAAAACAGGCAGACTCGAAAACAGGCAAACAAACAAGCAAAGGAAGAATGAAAGAATAGGTAGGAAAATATAGGTTACAAATGGAAATTGATGATGTCTGGACAGTCTACATCCCTGGATGGCAACATTCAGTGAGTAATAATTATCATGAGCTGTCAAGTCAATCATGATTTACGATAACCCCTTTTCTGAGTTTTCCAGGTAGAGAGTATTCAGAAGTGGCTTACCATTCCCTTCTTCTGGGGGGTGCCCTGGGACTGTGCAGTTTGCCCTGAGGCCACACAGGCTGACTCTACTCCCAAGGGACACAGTGTAGAATCAAACTCCCAACCTCTGGTTATGCAGCCAGATAACTAAACTACTGAGGTATCCAGCCAGTGAATAAAGCAGGGCAATTAAAACTAACAATAACTAGATGGAGCCATTGCATGTGCCCCATTAAATATTGCTCCCCCACAAATCATGACAATTCTAGAGTAAATGCCAAAGGTGTACGAACACAAGGAAGGAAGGAAGGAAGGAAGGAAGGAAGGAAGGAAGGAAGGATTGATTGATTGATTGATTGATTGATTGATTGATTGATTGATTGATTGATTGATTGATTGATTGATTGATTGATTACTGCTCTTACCTTCTTGGCTTTCATCCAAGCACAGGTCACCTGTATTTTCTTCTATAAAAATAGATATTGAAAGAAGACATAAGACAGGAGACATGATAACATTCTGCTCTGTTACAAGCCTTTGTTCTGTGGTGTTCTCATTAGTTTCCCAGGTTCTTACAGTGACAAATTTGAGAGGCCTATAATTTTTGAATACAACACAACCACCCACACCCACACCCACATTAGGGGACATCTATCACTACATGCTGTCTTTTCCTCTGTAACATATTTTTTGTGGAAAGAAAAAAAAGAAGTGGTAGAAAACAATGTTCAATGTTGCCAAGTCCCTCTAATTAACAGAAACCCTAATAAGATTTAGAAAGTTAGACTTTAAAGAGTGGTTTACTATTGTCACTCCCCAGTGAGTTTCCATAGCTGAACAGGTCTCCTGAGGTTTAGTCTGACATTCAATCCACCTCACCACACTGACTGTTGGGAAACCTGGAAAATTCCATGAAAGAAATGGAGCAATTCTACAATAAAAGTACCATCTGGAAGCTTCCTCAGCAGACCTTGGAAAAAGTTTACTTTCTTGAATTACATGGCCCAGAATCCCTACACAGTGGCTGGAGAATTCTAGGAGACACAATAAAAAAAATGCAACTTGCCAACTCCTGATCCCGAATGCATCTTAACAACTGAAAGAGGGAAGACTCTTATTCATATGATTAGTATGTAATCATCCCGGTTGTTCATCCCACTTGTACCTGGATTAGTACATGGACAGCAAACACAATCCAGGAAGAGCTAAACTAGGGCAGGAGACATGTGGTCCATGGGCAGAATCCACCTACACCAAGCACTTTTTTGTGGCTCCCAAAAGGTATCGCAATCCTGCCTGAACTAGGCAGAACTGGGGGGAAATGCTCTTTTATGGCCTTCTCTTCCTATCCAAGGGGACACTCTATCCCGCACAAGGCTAGGGCTTTAAGATATAAGACAATCTGGCACCTTCCTGAACCATAAACTGATTCTTTCAGTTCAGTGCATCAGATCAGACTTTGTGTGTTTTCCCATTTCCAATTTGTCCCTTTCCTGCCATGCCTATTACACCTTACCCCATTATCTTAAACTCAACATTGCCTTGAGTTGATTGCCATATTCACATTATAGCAAAAACCAGAGCTTGGAAAAGTTACTTTGGGGAACCTAATTTTTTCCTCCAGAGCCACAATAATAAGCATGGCTATTGGCTGGGGGATTCGGGGAAAAGCAGTCCCAGAAAGCAATGTTTCCAAATTCTACCAACCTCCCCCCCAAAAAAACCTCTAAATTAGCAAATATATCAGCACAGTTCGTGGTGCATGAGAGATAATGCAAACAGTAAGTGAATTGGGCTAATTAATTCATGACCTACAAATATATGCCATTTAAAATTTGTCCTAGATAAATACCAGATATTTGAAGTGACGAGATGCTCCAGTTCGTTGTCTGGTTTTGAGCAACATAGCAAGTGACCGTCTCCCATGATTCAAATTCTTGGGTGCTGATGGAAATATGAGACACTGCACTAAATGTCCCATCTTCTTCCCGGGAGATCCCATAGCTGGAGGACTGCAACACACTCCCATTTCCACTGGAAAACCAAATGGTGTTCAAAGCATCCTCCGAGAGGTCGTCTGCCAGGCAGAGTAACAGTGTCTTTCTCTCACCATTTATTATCACATTCCGGGGTGGTGACAAGGTTGGAGTTAAGCCCAAAGTGCAGCTACCTGCTGTAAGAAGAAACAAGCTTATGAAATAGGTACAGGTACAAAGTGAATGGTCCTGATCCACAAAAGCCTGAAGAATGTATGACGATTTTAGTGGTCTATAAAGGTATTGCCTACTCTTGCATTTGTACAAAGCACATAAGCACACAGAATGATGGCTTTGGCGGGTCATTGATTTTTCCCAAGTTAATATTTTTCTTTGGCATCCATTATGTTGGTGGAATTGTGCTTGAATTTGACTTTTTCTGTGCTCTCTTCCATTTAGAATAAATTTCATCTGCCACTTCCCCAGTTTCTTTCTAAATCAGCAAGATTTCTGACTACAGCTTCCATCTTTCCCAGCTATTGGTCGTCGTAATGGGGGCTAGTTTGAGCTTGACGGGACCTTCTTTAAGAGCCTTCAAGTCTATAGATGTGGTCTTGAATTCATTCCAGGTAATATCTAACACCATTGCATCTCCTGATGAGTCCCATTTGATTATCCTTCCTTCCTTCCTTCCTTCCTTCCTTCCTTCCTTCCTTCCTTCCTTCCTTCCTTCCTTCCTTACTTACTTACTTACTTACGGTACCATGCAGATTACATAGATAACCCTTCCTTTCTCCTTCCCCCCCTTTTTTTTAACTTTTCAAACATCTTGTCTGATTAGCAGACCAATAATTTTGAAAGCTACCATGCAGATTACATAAATAACCCTTCCTTTCTCCTTCCCCCTGATTAGCAGACCAATAATTTTGAAAGCTTGTATTCTTCTTTCGGTTGGTTTTTGAAATTCATATTACCTCCAGCACATTCTTCTCTCCCGTCTTTAATATTGATTTACTTGTTTTATTTATATGCTACCTTTTTCCCAATAAGAGGACCGTTATGCTCTTCTAGACAGTAATTCTGTACACAAACATACATCACCAATGCCTGTGGAACAGACACTAAGGGATACAAAAATATGGCAAATTAAACTCAGCAGATTAATTTATACAAACACAATTTGGATTATTTATTCTGAGCGCACTAGTTGCAATCCTAAACTTCTATGATTTTGATTAATGCAAAGAAAATGGAAAATGCTGTCTGGAAAAGATTCTGCCTTTTATTCTATCAAGCAAGTTTTAATTACAGACTCCAACTTCTGTATTTTGTTTTAAAGCCTACATACTGCCATTCAAAATGTTTCCGTACCGATTTACAGAGCAGGCCTTTCATGTGTATGAAAAAACTGACATGGATTCCTGCTCCAACAGCCACTTCCTGGGCTGAGAGTGTCATCACTGTAAGGCTTCCTCTTGGCTCTACTCAAGTCTGAATTGCCAAAAAGTATATGTCTGAAGAGAGTTTGCTATTTGTTGGGACTGCTTTTTATACCTTTTAATAATCATAGAGATGGCTGGATGGCTAAGGGAGATGGAGCCCCAGAGCCAGAGGGTAGAAGTTCAATTCTGTACTGTGCCTCTCAAAGGAAGAGCCAGCCTGTGTAGCCTTGGGCAAGCTGTACAGCTCCATGATGTCCCTGGAAGAAGGGAATGGTGTGCCACTTCCGACTGCTGTATATCTAGAAAACCCTGATTCTGGACCAACATAAATTGGAATTGCCTTGACACGACGTCAATATTAATAACAGCAGAAAAGGTAAGTACTCACAAGGAAATGGTTCAAGGCCCTTCAAGGGGCAGAATAAAGTGCCAGAGGACTATGCTTAAACCAACCTCCCTCCAAAATAATAATAATAATAATAATAATAAATGCCACAGCAATAGCAGCACCTTCACCCGAATTAGAGAAGGATGAGACAGCCACTGCCATCAGAAACCCCTGCAAGAAGAAGGTAGAGCACAATATGTACCCTGTTTCCCCAAAAATAAGTAATAATAATAATAATGATGATGATGATGATGATGATGATGATGATGATGATGATGATGATGATGATAATGATAATGATAATGATAATGATAATGATAATGATAATAAATTTAAATCCCCTAGTTTGTACTGCTAGCTTTTCAAGTATGTGGAAGAAGATACTGTTCCATCAGTATGGCTTAAAGCAAGATTAAACTTCCACTCTGGCAATTCTGTGCATGTGGAATGGAAAAGAGGTGTCATGCTATTATCCTTTATTTAAGGGGACAAAAATATATCATGTCAACTCTGGAGAAGAATTCATGCAGATATTTGAAACACGGGGTGGAGGATAGCTTGGAAAAGGTCTCTCTACTTCGGACTACAACCGGCCACACAGGCTGGGTGTGTGGGGGAGTTGCCGGCCAAGGCCAAGATGGTCCATATTATAGTATTCATGATTGCTACGGACAGATGGGAAAGCTGGACAGTGAAAAAATCTGACAGGGGAAAAAGTCAATTCATTTGAAATGTGTTGTTGGAAGAGAGCTTTGGACACAACAGGCTGCCAGAAAGACAAATATGTGGGTCCTTGATCAAACCAACCCTGAACATTCCTTAAAAGCAAACATGATTTAAACTGAGGCTATCATACTTTGCGCACACCAGGAGGACACAAGATTCACTAGAACAGACAATAATGCTGGACAATAACGCTGGGAAAAGAGACAATAAGGCAGTAGGAAAAGAGAAATACCTAACAGGAGATGAATTTGACTCAACAACAGAAACTACAGCCTTGAATTCACAAGACTTCAAAAGCATTCTTAGGGAACTGTCTTCCCGTTTCTCCATCTCCCTCACCAAACTCAAAGCGTGTGCAAGGAAGAGAATCCTACTCACAGGTCAGAAGCTGGAGGGCTGCACTGGTCAGCAGCAGTTGGCCCACTGGCGCCCAGGGCAGCTTATGCTTGAGAGCTGGCTGTGGCATGTTTTCAGGAGCAAGTACAGCAACAAAATGAATGATAATAGTAGGCAATGTGATAAACCCGTTACTCAGCAAACCTTCCTCCCTGACCTCAGTTCTTTCCCACAGCTAGCGGTTGCACACCTGCATATAATAAACAGCCATGTGATTTTTTTAACACACACACACACACATTACCTTTAGCTATTTAAGAAAGAATTTTGGGGGCCCTTTAAGACTAACCAGAGTCAGTTGGCATGAGCTGATATGGACATAGCCCATATCTGTAGATGCATGAAGTACAGTTTTGTGACTTCTAATAAAGTCACAAAAGTATATTTATTTATTTATTTATTTATTAGCAGTAGAGTACAATGGTGCCTCGCTTAATGATTGTTTCATTAAACAACAAAACCGCTATACGATGACTGTTTTGCGATTGCTTTTGTGATCGCAAAACAATGTTTTAATAACAAAAATCCGCTTTGCGACAATCGGTTCCCTGCTTCGGGAACCTATTCTTCGCATTACGATGATTTTAAAACAGCTGATTGCCGGCTTCACAATGGCCACCTGCTGTGTAAATTGGCTCCCCACTGTGTTTTTGGACGGATTCCCGCGGGTAGATCTAGGTAAAAGAAGGCGTTCCACCAGATATTGAGGTCCTAAACCATTTAGGGCTTTATATATCATCAATACTTTAAAATCAATGCAGAAGTGAACAGGTAGCCAATGCAAGGCTGCCAGAGTAGGGGAGATATACCCCATTAAGAAGTCTGGCCGCCGCATTCTGCACCATTTGAAGCTTCTGCATCAATCACAAAGGTAGCCCCACGTAGAGTGCATTACAGTAGTCTAATCTCAAGACTACAAGTGCATGGACCAGAGTGGTGAGGGCCCCAACATCAAGATAAGGACACAGCTGTACAATCCACCAAAGATGGAAGTAGGTGGTGTGGACCACTGACGCTACCAGGGTTTCCATGGTAAGCGCCAGATCAAGATGTACCTCCAAGCTGCAAACCTCAGTCTTCGTGGTGACAGTCACCCCCCCCCCCCAAAGTGAGGTAGTTTCCCAAACCACCAATGTCTGGGCCACCCACGCTCAGGAACTCCGTCTTGTCTGGATTCAGCCTCAGAACATTCACCTGCATCCATCCCAGTACGGCATCCAGATAGCACGGAAGGGACGGAACGGCATCCACTGTTGACAGAGAAAAGGAAATGTAGAAAAGGAGACGAAGCCCCGCAATCCCTGATGACCTGACCCAGCAGCCTCATGTAGTTACTAAACAGCATTGGGAAGATAATCGAGCCCTCCAGAACCCCACAACTGAGATTCCACAGAACCGATACACTCTCCCCAAGCTGGACTCTTTGGGGACAGTCCTCCAAGAAGGATTGGAGCCAGGCTAATGCCAGACCACCGATTTCCAGCTCAGAGAGCCTCCCCAGAAGGATACCGTGGTTGAAGGTATTGAAGGCGGATGAGATATCAAGAAGGACCAACAAAAACATTTTGCCCCTGTCAGCTTCCCACAGGGCATCAAGCGAGACAACCAATGCCATTTCTGTACTTTGGTGCAGCCTGAAGGCAGACTGAAATGGATCCAGGGCGTTAGTTTCATCCAGAAGGTTCTGAAGCTGGTCAGCTACCACCCTCTCTACCACTTGATTAAGGAAAGAAACATTGGCGACAGGCCTATAATTGCCAATGTCGTCCGCCACCAAATTTGGTTTCTTCCTAATGGGCTTAATGAGTGTCTTCTCTTGGAGAGACCCATTAACTGTTGCAGTGGCCCATTCGGTTGTTATAGGCCTGTCTGCTTTGATTAGCCAGGCTGGGCAAGGGTCAAGTGAGGAGGTGGTGGCATGACAGCGGTCAAGCACCTTGTCCACCATGTCTGGCATTACAGGCTGAAAGAGATCAAGTCTCATCAGGCAAGGCGGAGTGCTTGGATGTCTCTGCTCGATCTACTGTGTTCAAAAAAGGAGACAGCGCCCATCAGATGGCCGCCACTTTAGATGAATTTGCTGGTTTGGGGGAGTGAGAATGGCTAAGGAAATGGAAATGATCCTTGCCTTACTGGAGCTCTTCCATTAATAGCCTTACTGGTGAGCAAATCAGCCCCAGTATGGAGTACCACATTATACATACGTACTCACTTCTTATATATATATATATATTAAAAGTCATAAGCATCTCTCCATTCCTGGCAAAAGAAATACAGAATAATAATAATAATAATAATAATAATAATAATAATAATAATAATAATAATAATAATAATAATAATAATAATAATAATAATAATAATAATAATAATAATAATAATAATAATAATAATAATAATAATAATAATAATAATAATAATAATAATAATAATAATAATAATAATAAAGGCACTTTAGCTGCTTTTCCATGCTAGGGAAACTCCACTGAGCCTAGCTTGAACTGTTAATTACTGAATCACAGAAGCAAGAGTTACAGGCACATAACATTAACCTGGACTTCTTATGTATACTGTACTATAAAGCTCTTGCTCATATGTTGTCTGTTATTACTGTATGCATATATATAAAACACTTCATATATATTCATTTATTCATATATTTTAAAAATCCAGAACAACTTTCCTTCCTAGCTAAGCAGTGGCGCCATTGCCAGGGCTTTTGAAAGTTCCCCTACTATGCGTTCTCTATTGGTATAGCCCGGCGCGGCCCCCCTCTCACTTGCCTAATGGTAGCTTCCAGGAAGTCTGCGAGGAGTGGAACATCCCCGGGTTGGTAAAGAGGTTTGGTGCGACTCGCCTTGGAAAGGGTAGGTCTGGCCATCGAGCGTTACGCGGAGGGGTGGCGGGGAGTGGAGAAGTGGGCCCCTCGCCGGTCGGGCCTTTGCGAGCGGCTGAGCCATGCGTTCTCCCCTGGAGCCCCAGCGGGCATGCTCTCGAGTAAACAAGCGAAAGGATCGGGTTGCGCTGTCCGGGGGCTTCGTGCAACCACCTTCCTTCCTTCCTTCCTTCCTTACGTGTGTATGGGTGTGTATGCCTGTCTGTTTATATCTGTATGTATATGCATGCATGCACAAGGAAGAAAATAATTGTATGTATGTATGTACGTACATCATAGTGAGGGAGACAGGGAAAGTTACAGAAAATTGAATGCAGACTTCCAAAGAATAGCAAGGAGAAACAAGAGGGCCTTCTTAAATGAACAATGCAAAGAAATAGAGGAAGATAACAGAAAAGGAAAGACCAGAGATCTGTTCAGGAAAATTGGAGATACTAGAGGAACATTTTGCGCAAAGATGAACATGATAAAAGACAAAAATGGGAGGGACCTAACAGAAGCAGAAGACGTCAAGAAGAGGTGGCAAGAATACACAGAGGAATTATATCAGAAAGATTTGGATATCCCGGACAACCCAGACAATGTAGTTGCTGACCTTGAGCCAGACATCCTGGAGAGCGAAGTCAAGTGGGCCTTAGAAAGCCTGGCTAACAACAAGGCCAGTGGAGGTGATGGCATTCCAGTTGAACTATTTAAAATCTTGAAAGATGATGCTGTTAAGGTGCTACATTCAATATGCCAGCAAGTTTGGAAAACCCAACAGTGGCCAGAGGATTGGAAAAGATCAGTCTACATCCCAATCCCAAAGAAAGGCAGTGCAAAAGAATGCTCCAACTACCGTACAATTGCACTCAATTCGCACGCTAGCAAGGTTATGCTCAAAATCCTCCAAGGTAGGCTTCAGCAGTATGTGGACCGAGAACTCCCAGAAGTACAAGCTGGATTCCGAAGAGGCAGAGGAACTCGAGACCAAATTGCTAACTTGCGCTGGATTATGGAGAAAGCCAGAGAGTTCCACAAAAATATCTACTTCTGCTTCATTGACTATGCGAAAGCCTTTGACTGTGTGGACCACAACAAACTATGGCAAGTCCTTAAAGAAATGGGAGTGCCTCACCACCTTATC